CGGGCCGAGCCGGGCCGTCGGGCTACCCGGCCCATGAATAGGTCTAGTAAGGAGTTATCGCATTAGCATTTTGAGTTTTGTTAGATGCGTGAATCCACGAGTTATCGCGTCAGTATTTTGAGTTTCGGCTTTAGTTAACGGGCTTTTTGACGTTAGTAACTAAAATCCAATTGAACCGAATACAAAAGGAAAAAAAATACATCAAACCACTCAAGGATTTCATTTGGACTCTGATGTAGGGTGATTTGGCCCGACCTCGTAGTACGGGGATACGTGAGCATGACCTGGCATAATTGACAATTCAGCGCGACAGCCTGGCCACAACTCGGTGTTACAAGCTCGCCGAGGCCCGATCAAACGGCTCAGCGGGTGTGAACTCGTCGAGAAGCAAGGCCCAACTCACCCCAAGCCTGAGGGTGGAGCGCCCCGAGCTCCCTCTGTGCAAAGGGACCCAAGCTCCCCCTGAGACCCGAGCTCCTCCTAAGGGGCTCCGAGATCTCCCTTCCTAAGAAGGGAGCACCCTAACTTTTGGCTAAGTGTCCCGAGGGAGAAACACCTCAGGACAGCACTGTCGATACTTCTGTTCTTACTTGCTTAAGGTTCACCTCCAATGTGAGCACCTCAGGGTACCTCGGCACCTCGGTGCAAGGTAACTCAGCCCCAGGAGGTTCGGTGCAAAGTAGCTCGGCAACCTACAGGGAAGATCAGCCTGACATCCGTACCTGCCGGATCTGGTGGCAGCGCCCACGTCTCTCGCCAGGCGGCGTCATGCCTGGCATCTCTGAAAAGCATGGCACGCCTGATAGGTCCGTACTCTGCAGCAGCAACTTGCACCCGCCATCTCAGCCCAGGCAGTAACGGCTAGGGCAGTGGCGGTTATGCCTGATGTGACTGAGCTCCGGTATAAGAGGACCCCGACCCTCGCGAAGCAAAGGTATTGAAGCTAGCACTTTCAGCACTCTTAACTCTCTCTGTGTTTTCCTCAGAGTTCTAACTTAGCCATCAGAGTGTTCTCGCCGGGAGAGCTCCCCGGGAACCCTTCACGTTCTTCTTTATCTCAGGTGCCATTGGTGTCGTTTGTCACAGCTAGGAGCCAAGTTTCAGCCAGCTAAGAGTGCCCAGATCGTGCAGCATCATTTGGCGCCGTCTGTGGGAATGCTTCAAAAGGCCTTCCTCTAAATTCTGTGCAACTTTCTCCAGAGAACTCATAAGCATCACCGACACCCATGGCTTCCTCTAGCAACGCCGGGCGCCGAAACACCCCTGAGGAACAACCCCAGTTACCCACCGTCTACATCGGACAGTTCATCGTCCCCCTCTCTGTGGACGGGATTCCTAGTTTGGATGTGCCTTAGACGATGGCACCCGTGACTGTTCCACTGCCCTCTAGAGTCGGAATAACCTTCACTGAACCCACCATTCTCCCTCTGGTGGCCAGCCAAGGTCAGCTCGAGGATTTGATGCAGTGCATGCGAGCCATGCAGGCTCAGATGCAACAGTTTCAGCAACTCCAGTTTCACCAGTAGCAAATGTTACACCAGGTTTCCCAATACTAGTATCAGCAACAATTTCCTTCACTCCCTCCTCGGCATCTAGCTGCATAGCCAACCAAGCCTCACCGCCGAAGCAAACTTCCTTCCCGCTGAGGAGAGACCTCGGTATCGTCTCATGGAAGAAAGGAAAGACCCCTTACCCCACCTCGCGGCCTGCAGTTAGGTCGGGGGCTTCCCATCCGGTTAGGCTCGTATCTATTAAGGACACACCACCCGGCGGCGCACTGTGGCGCAGTCATAGGCAGCAGCATGCACAGCGGGCCGCCCAACAGCACGCACCGCCCGGCAGCGCGCACAGCAGCACGCACCACCCGGCAGCGCGCAGCACGCACCGCCCGGCAGCGCGCACAGCAGCACGCACCGCCTGGCAGCACGCAGCACACACCGCCCGGCAGCACGCAGCACGCACCACCCGGCAGCGCGCACAGCAGCACGCACCGCCTGGCAGCGCGCAGCACGCACCACCCGGCAGCGCGCACAGCAGCACGCACCGCCCGACTGCGCACACAGCAGCACACACAACACGGCAGCAACACTGTGAGATGCGCGCGTCGCCCGGCAGCAGCAGTAGGGCAGGACCCACACGACAGCTCATCAGGGTGGGTCCGCACTTATCTAACCACGTCAGCTCTGCTCGCCAACTCGCCGCCAGCTAGTCCATTCCTCATCCCTTATCCTCATCTCATCTTATCTTCTTAGTAGGAGTTCTGTTCTTACTTACCTGGTTTTGTTCTTATCTATTAGAGATAAGAACTAAGTGTTGTTAGAAGTCTGTTAGAAGTAGGAGTTTGATTTAAAGTTGGATTGTCCTAGCTTAGTCGAA